GTTTGGTGGTTCACCTTTTTGAGTGTTGAGCTTTTTGTTGTATAACTTAAAAGGGAGGTTTCTGAAGTTGTTCTGGACAGAATGGCTGAAGAAGAGGTTGCCCCTGAAAACACAACCAAAAACAAAACAGTACAGATGTTGCTTTGTTTTCTGCACAGTGTTTGTATCTTGCCACCTACTCCCTCCCTTCCAGCTCGCTTTGTGTGTTATCTATATTTCAGAACAATAAAATGAATCTTGTCCTAAATAAAAAAAAAAGGCTTTAAATGTGTTTGTAAGACAGTATTTTGATACACAATAAAGTTGTCTAAGTATTTTTGTCAGTCTAGTGACTGCATTTTGTCTTTAAACTGAAGATACATTTCTGTTTAGATTGTGCTAATTTAACAGATTTTAAAAGCTACTTGTCCAAATATAAATTTAATAAACTTCAGTGATCTTCTAATAGGGACTCGCCGCATGTTGCTCTGATTTTTAAAAATGATTGGATTGCTTATTTTTATCTGAAAGAATGCTTTCCTGAGAAACTGAAGCATAGAGTAAGCATGAAAGTGTAATGTTGGTTCAGGATTGAGGATCTGTCATATGCACAGTAAGAACAGTTATACTACACAATGCAATTCTTAATTTGCTAATGCAGTGTATATATCTTCTAGAGAGTGGAAAATGTGTATGTTACTGGAATCTGTAGCCAACGCCCTTCCTGGAAAACAACTCCTTATTAGGCCTGACTCACTTTTCACCTCCAGAGGCCGCTGCGGGATAATCTTAGTCTTGCAACTTGTGCACATCAGGCCTACACCTATAAATCCATTGGTTCAAATTGTAGACTATAATTAAAACTAACTCGATGCAGCCAGAACTAAAAAAAAAAAAATGTAAAAATTGTATAAAATGCATTTCTGAGCAGAGTACCAGGATGTCAACTAAAGGATGGAGATGCTAATATTAATTTCAGTACCAGCACACTGTAAGGAAAATAAAATAAATGTATACTTTGAAAATGGGGTAGGATTTCAACTGGTATTTTTTTTATTTTTATCTATGTTCTACATGAATCCCCTGAAGTGTCACGTAAATTCTTTCATAAAATGTATATTTTTTTCTGCGAGTATAAAAATCCATGGAATCCAAACTTTTTTTTTTTAGTTTTTAGAATAAATGTATAACGTTATTGATTTCCAGGTAATATCTTGTGTATTACAGTTGGGTTATGTCTGTATATTTCATTTTTAGCCTTTATATTGATATAATTGAATAGGTCTTGTGAATTCCCAGCAACCATTTGAAGTTGTAACAGTACAGGTGTTACCAATATAATGGCGGAAAGCTGGAAAGCAATTCGTTTGTTGTTGCTTTTCCTATTGTCACCTTGCCAAAATACATAATCCTCGGTGAAAAAGGCATATGGTCTGTAAAACGTTGAGGTGTAGCATTAAACGTGATATTCCCTTGCAGAAAGTGGACATTTCTTGATGTATAAGTAAGCAATGGCTTTATTAAGTCGTTTCGCTACCAACAGAATACGTCTGCTCCACTAACCCAGCAGTGTAATGAGTAGGTGCGCCGCGTTACGTCTCCATACACCGCCACGAGCCACGCCCACTCTGCTGCTCCAGCCTCCCGCCTGCTGCTGTCGTTCTGCTCTCAGACTCCTTTTCCACCTACCGTTCTTGTTTAATGGTAAGTGAACGTGTTTCATTTCAACACCACATCTGCCTTTTCCTGTTTTTAATCGCTTGCGATTGTTGCTCGCGCGACATAAAAGCGCACAAATGGTTTTATATCGTTACTCTTTACCCTGCTAAGTTTTAACGCGGCATTAGGTGAATAGGGCAATCCAAGTGTAATATTATAGTACGATATTTGGCGTTAAGTTATTTCCATTTGTAAATGTTTCCTTTACTATGGATCAGTCACTGCAGTTTGCGCTCAGTTTTAAGTTCTTTTCTTGCTGGACAGCAACTTGGCGGGCAGCAGCGTGTACTCCATGAGTCTCCTCCCTTTTCTCCGTCTCCATGCTGTTTGTCTATCTATCTGTCTGCAGATGGCGTTGAGTGAGAGAAGTAATGAGGAGATCAGCAAGTTACTTGCTGAGTATGGCATTAAACATGGACCCATAGTAGGTAAGACAGACATTATGATTACTGGGCTCAATCGCCCCCTCATGTTGTAGGTCTAGCAGTAAGAACTATGATCATCAGAATAAATAAGTGTGATAGAAGCCTGCAGTTGGCACTTTATGAAGTACACCCTGGAAATCTTCCTCCGCTGTTCACCTTTTGTTCAAAGTGTTTCAGAGACCTGTGGGATCATTGCTGTACTGCTGTTAAGCTGTACTGTATCATACAGAGAGCTGCTTGTTGTTTAGCCTAGCTAGGTTTACTGAAGGATATTGAAGCCCCATTAACAAGTTTGTCTGAACATAGACTCAACTCGAAAGTTGTATGAGAAGAAGCTTGAAACGGCCATGAAGAGTTCTCCAGGCAAAGCGTCCTCTGATAAGACCTTCTACAGAGAGGAAGGTAGGATGCTGGATTTGTGGAGCTGTAAATGTCCTGTAGTGTACAGTATGTAAGCAGTAGTACATTCATTTCTTACTCCAGTCCCCTCTTGATTGGGCTTTAATTAAATATGTATACCATGGTATATTCTGATATCATGTGTCTTTATCTTCATACCTGTACTGTATTATGGGATTCTGTTCACCTTAGTGCAGCCTATGTGGTAACATCACTGCTAGCTTTGTAACCAACATTAGCTTTAACTTTATTTAGTAGGTTACTGAGCTAGCAGTGATGTTATCACACATGTTCATTTGGCTTTTCTGGTTTTTTTCAAAAGATGAAATTGCTGTCACCCCATATTGGACTTTAATTACCTATCCACCTATTGCAGGGACTCATCGTCTAGGTACGCTCGGCAGCTCTGTTAAATTGAGACTGTAACCACAAATTTTATAAAACAAACCAAAAAAACCCAAAGCAGTGATTCATTAGCAGCTATACAGCTGATCTGCGATCAGATTTACCCTACAGCCTTGTACACAAA